TTGACCAGCTTCATCTAACAGACTCCTTTTTTCTGAGCAGGTCTAAATGTTGAATTCTGATTCAGACAGTCTAAGTTCAAAGAGGCGTCTGAGCGCAGTGATGCGTCTGAGAGGCCGAGCAGCCAGTCTCTGCTCCTTCCTCTTCCTGACCATCACCTCCCAGCCACGCTATCCATTAGGAAGCATTTCATCTCTGGCTCCACTTTACTGGAAACTTCTTCTGCCTACTGTCTGTGCTTCCATATGTTCCTGCATTAGCATATCCACACAAGCTCACAAAATAAAAAGAAAAGAAGAAGAATGAAGACACAAGCGTCGGAATGAAGGGAAAAGAACTCTAGGCTCTCCAGGAATCAGGTCATAAAAGAGATATCTGAAACATATTGCCGGTGCGCAGAAACTGCTGATCCAGAGTTGCAGCTGCATCTTTTCTGCTGCATGATTCCCTCTGCAGCAGCAAACAGACCCAACTGGGCCCCATCAGGGCTGAATGCACATCCACACTGACAGACCTGCACACATGTGTAGGAAGTCTCTACATGAAGTGAAACAGTCGCAGACTCCTGAATTTTGCTTTGAAAACTTGGACTTTCTCTCGGATGTGACGCTGGAATGTCTCCTAACCTGGGATACATACTTCTTTACATTCCATAGTTGCTCTTGTTCATATGGGCATATAAAGAAGTATGTCCCCCAAGCAGGCCACTGTCCTTGGTGGCGCATCAGTTTGGTCCCTCCTCTCCTCGGTTCCCATCCCGACCTGCCACCTATGTGTCGCCCCCACCCCTCCTTATTCAACAGGGAGGGGAAAATACACCATCAGGACCAAACTGATCCCGGCTCTCATCTCCTCCTCACGTTGATGGAGTTTTTCAGCTCTTGGCTTTAGTTTAGAGCCTTGCCTCACTCCTGTCCTAAACAGCATCCTAACCTGACCCACTCCTGTCCCAGTCCCACTCCAACTCCCAGTCCCACTCCCACTCCCAGTCCCAGGAAGCGGTTCACCTTGAGCCTCACATGTTAGAAGAGTTCAGCTGCAGCAGGATGCAGTGGGAAGGTAGGGGGTGAGGGGGGGGGGAGTCAGAGAAAGAGGAGGAA